GTTCTACGCCTAGCTAAGGCGCTATGAAATTTTGGTCAAGCAAAATCTGCATGTAATATAATAATTAATAACAGCATATTGAGAATCAATTTCTTTTGGAATTTCGTTATAAATTTCAAACACATGTTCATTAACAGATATATACTATCAAATGACATGAAATTTTCTTATTAATAATTTTATTTATTTTTTTCAATTTTCTTATTTTTGCAATCGCCACACTGTAGCATAGGCTTTGTGGTCACTCATGCATGCAAGGCACCAAGATGGATACCCAGCAGCATCTCATATTGCAACTCTCTCTATATAGGAACTCTAATTAGTAATAGAATAGACAATTGAAAAAAATTAATAAAAATATTAATAAGAAAATTTGATAGTATAAATATCTGTTAATCAACATGTGTTTGGAATTTATAACAAAATTCCAAAAGAAATTGATTCTCAATATGCTATTATTAATTATTATATTACATTGCAGTTTTTGCTTGACCAAAATTGCATATCGCCTGATCTGGGCATACAGCATCGCGTTTGCTCGGCTCATAAAATATTAGGTGACAGGGCCTAGGCCATTTCACTGGACAATTTAGAAATTCATATAGTAAATGGGTGTTTACGATAACGATAATTGTCGTATTGAAAAAAGAAAGTGTCGCATATTAGAGCGTAAATGGATCAAGTCTTGTGATTCTGTTGATAATACAGCTTTCAAGAAGCAATGTGCAAAATATCACTCGGTTTTAACCATTACAAAAACTGCCTACTTTCAATCTCAAGTCGAGAAATGTGGAAGTGACCAACGGCTGTTTCTTTAATGAACAAACTTTGCGGTAAAAGTAAAGGAACTCTCTTACCATCCACACCCTCTGATGTTGAATTAGCACAAGCATTTAACACATACTTTCACAATAAAATTAAAACTTTTAGAGCATCTCTACCAGTCATATCGGCTGACGCTTTCTCAGTGCCGGATGCCGACGGTTTTGAAATTAGTAACTTTACAGAACTAGAAGAAAATGAAATATTTAACATTGTAAAAACAGTTTCATCAAAGACATGCTCATTAGATCCTTTCCCTACAAAATATATTATCGAAAATATTACACTTTTCCTACCTGTGTTTTGTCAGATTGTTCATTCTTCCTTTTCATCTGGCACTTTCCCTGATGACCTAAAAGTGGGGATCATCAGGCCAATGCTTAAGAAGCCTAACTTAAACCACAATTAACTTGCTAATTTTAGACCAGTTTCTAACACTCCTTTCCTCTCTAAACTCTCTATCTTAGCTTCCATGTCAACCACTGGTCTGAAGCCAAGAAAACCATTGAAGCATATGTTTGTGATGGTCAGTCCTGGTTGTCACAAAACATGCTCTTCTTTAATCCTTGTAAGATTGAAGTTCTCTATTTTCATTCAAAGTACCTTAGAAGACCACCTCCGATTAATGGTGTTGTAGTTGGTAACACCAATGTCCTACCATCTTCTAAAGTCCGTAATATAGGGGTTGTTTTTGATCCTATAATGAAGATGGAAAAACACATATACACCGTTTGTAAATCGGTTTCATATCATCTGCGCAACATCAAGCATATTCAAAAGTTCCTAACAAAAAATGCTCTTCTGAAGTTAGTTCATGCACTTATAACATCACGGCTAGATTATTGCAATGCAATTCTGTATGGTCTTCCCGCCTGTCGTTTAAATAGACTACAGCTATGGTTACCAATTGACAAGCGCATCACATTCAAGATTCTGCTCATTACGTACAAAGCCCTGCACAACAAGACACCTGAATACATTTCTCAACTTCTAACGTCACGTTCTGTAAATTGTAGTGGGTCTATGAGATCAACGACCAATAGATTCATACTATCCGTGCCAGCATCGCGACTCAAAACTTACGGTGATAGGGCCTTTTCTGTCGCTGCACCAAGACTTTGGAACACCCTACCCAGCCTCTATCCGTGAAGCAACTTCCGTTCATACATTTAAGAAGAAACTTAAAACCCACCTTTTTTAAGTTTATCTTTTTACAATTTTTGTAGTTTAAGAGTATTTAAGTGTTTTGTTTTTTGTTCCTTTAAGTCGCAACTCCCTTACTTGAGCCGGCGTCGCCACCTTAGCAGTGCACGGTAGTAGAACCGAGGCTTATCCAAGGTGGAAGCTACCGGAGCCCAGCATACTTTTGCCGGAGTACCTGCGTGTACGCAGTAGTGGTGATGACGCCGTCTCAACAACAGGAGTGCGCATTTTTCATGCTGCTGCTTGGTTTTTTCCATTCTTGGTCTGCCTGTTTTTGAAGGCTTAATTTATCAATTTATCAATTATTTATTTTTATTTATTTATTTATTTATTTATTTATTTTTATTTATTTTCTATTTGTTTATTTATTTACTTTATTCATTTATTTATATTTATTTAACTTATAATATATATTAAAAAAATGTTCTGAATAATATAGGCTCATTAATATAAGATATGATATATATATGTTCTTAAAAGACTATTCTACACCACTATACAAGTTTTAAGAAATTAAAAAAATGTTTCGACCTCTGCCACAAGATGGGAATAAAAGAGCCTATCTAAATAGTGTATTAAAATAGGCCTCTGCAGTACAGTACGTAGGTAGGGTAGGGGATACACTAGGCCTAGCTAGCTATAAAGTAGCGTAGTAATTTTTCAGTTAGCGTATGACTTACAGATTTCTCTTATTATATACTACTACTAGTTGATTAACAGATATATACTATCAAATGACATAAAATTTTCTTATTAATAATTTTATTTATTTTTTTCAATTGTCTATTCTAGTACTAATTAGAGTTCCTATATAGAGAGAGTTGCAACATGAGACGCTGCTGGGTATCCATCTTGGTGCCTTGCATGCATGAGTGACCACAAAGCTTATGCTACAGTAAATATAAAATAAATATCTGTTAATCAACATGTGTTTGGAATTTATAACAAAATTCCAAAAGAAATTGATTCTCAATATGCTATTATTAATTATTATATTACATGCAGTTTTTCTTGACCAATATTGCATACCGCCTGAGCTGGGCGTACAGCATCGCGTTTGCTCGGCTCATAAAATAGTAGGTGACAGGGCCTAGGCCATTTCACTGGACAACTTTAGAAATTCATATAGTAAATGGGTGTTTACGATAACGATAATTGTCGTATTGAAAAAAGAAAGTGTCGCATATTAGAGCGTAAATGGATCAAGTCTTGTGATTCTGTTGATAATACAGCTTTCAAAAGCAATGTGCAAAATATCACTCGGTTTTAACCATTACAAAAACTGCCTACTTTCAATCTCAAGTCGAGAAATGTGGAAGTGACCAACAGCTGTTGTTTTCTTTAATGAACAAACTTTGTGGTAAAAGTAAAGGAAATCTCTTACCATCCACACCCTCTGATGTTGAATTAGCACAAGCATTTAACACATACTTTCACAATAAAATTAAAACTTTTAGAGCATCTCTACCAGTCATATCGGCTGACGCTTTCTCAGTGCCGGATGCCGACGGTTTTGAAATTAGTAACTTTACAGAACTAGAAGAAAATGAAATATTTAACATTGTAAAAACAGTTTCATCGAAGACATGTTCATTAGATCATTTCCCTACAAAATATATTATCGAAAATATTACAATTTCCTACCTGTGTTTTGTCAGATTGTTAATTCTTCCTTTTCATCTGGCACTTTCCCTGATGACCTAAAAGTGGGGATCATCAGGCCAATGCAAACCTAACTTAAACCACAATGAACTTGCTAATTTTAGACCAATTTTTAACACTCCTTTCCTCTCTAAACTTCTTGAGAAATGTGTGGCAAATCAAATTATTAATTTTCTTGATGTAAATAATCTGTTTGATCCTCTACAATCGGCCTACAGAAAATTTTACAGCACTGAGACAGCAGTTGTTAAAATCCACAACGATATAATGGTTGACCTTGATAATTTTAATGGTTTTATAATCTTGATGGTTTTTGTATTCTGGCTGTCTTTTTAGATCTAAGTGCTGCTTTTGACACGATTAATCACAAAATACTCATTCACAGACTTGCATCTCTTGGAATTGGTGGATCTGTTCTTACATGGTTCACATCTTATCTTACATCTAGAAAGCAACAGGTTCGCATTAGAAATAGCTCTTCAGCGTGCATTAATGTAGAGAGTGGTGTCCCTCAGGGGTCAATTCTTGGCCCCATTTCATTTCTTATTTACGTCTCTCCTTTGAGCAAAATCATTAGCAGTCATGGAGTCCGATATCATGCCTACGCCGATGACACTCAACTCTATCTTAGCTTCCATGTCAACCACTGGTCTGAAGCCAAGAAAACCATTGAAGCATGTGTTTGTGATGGTCAGTCCTGGTTGTCACAAAACATGCTCTTCTTTAATCCTTGTAAGACTGAAGTTCTCTATTTTCATTCAAAGTACCTTAGAAGACCACCTCCGATTAATGGTGTTGTAGTTGGTAACACCAATGTCCTACCATCTTCAAAAGTCCGTAATATGGGAGTTGTTTTTGATCCTATAATGAAGATGGAAAAACACATATACACCGTTTGTAAATCGGTTTCATATCATCTGCGCAACATCAAGCATATTCAAAAGTTCCTAACAAAAAATGCTCTTCTGAAGTTAGTTCATGCACTTATAACATCACGGCTAGAAGTAACATAGTAATAAGCACTTAAAATAATGAATATCCATCAAATAAAAGATCGTATAATCACACGAAATCGTAGTAGAAAGATAATCTACAGCGCTACCCGATCGTAACATGGGCGCAGCCATCTTGTTTGTTTACGTACAACGCCCTCTATTGACGTGAGTAACTAATTATAAAACAAACAGTGCCTAGAGCAAAGTTTATGTCGCCCAAAGGCAAATACATGTGCACTCTTCTTATCAGTGAAATACGAATACCCAAGCCGATAGATAAACGATTACCAGCAAGGCCTAACAAAGCCCAATTTACAAAATCGTAACTTAGAAGAAAATTTAGATATCATCTAGCAGTCAATACATATAAAAGTAAGATCGTTACTTGGCTGAAAATCATCAATATTTCGATATACTGTGTAACTAGAATCAGTGCTAGGCTAAGCCAGCAATGTACAGAACCTGTCTCTTATACACCGGAGCCCAGCATACTGTCGCCGGAGTACCTGCGTGTATGCAGTTGTGGTGATGACGCCGTCTCAACAACAGGAGTGCGCATTTTTCATGCTGCTGCTTGGTTTTTTCCATTCTTGGTCTGCCTGTTTTTGAAGGCTTAATTTATCAATTATTTATTTATTTATTTATTTATTTATTTTTATTTATTTTCTATTTGTTTATTTATTTACTTTATTCATTTATTTATATTTATTTAACTTATAATATATATAAAAAAATATATTCTGAATAATATAGGCTCAGTATTATAAGATATAATATAATTTAATTTTTTATAATTCATGGTCCTCCCTTTTTTCGACGCCTTGAGATGATTTTATTGTGGAAGGCGCACTACAAATATCCCACCATCACCATCACCTTTGTGGCACACCTCAGCTAGGGCCCCAGTCCGATGGTATCTCCAAAATAACTAGTAGTATTTTATAAGAGAAATCCGTAAGTCATATGGTAACCGAAAAAGTATTGCGCTATTTTTATAGCTATCTAGAGGCCTAGTAGTCCTAGTGTACTACCCACCTACGTACTGTACTGCAGAGGCCTATTTTAATACACTATTTAGATAGGCTCTTCTTTTCCCATCTTGTGGCAGAGGTCGAAACATTTTTTAAATATCTTAAAACTTGTATAGTGGTGTAGAATAGTCTTTTAAGAACATTTGCAGAAAAAAAATAATGTGATACGATTCTTCGTTACGGAGTTATGGATTTTTAAGTAACATGAGTTCAATAATTTTGCCTCAAAGCTTATCTTATTTTTGTTGGCTACGCACCACTGACTTGTTCAATGGGCACCAAGATGGTAGATAGAGGGCGGCCAGTACATACTCTCTCTACATACCTGTAGTACTGTACCCTAACCTTAGACACAACTCCAGTCTTGATATGTTCAGGTTAAGGTTAGGCCCTAGGGCGGAGTACTTGGATCAAGTGCGATCCATGGACCCTGTGTAAGTAGCTCAGGTCCAATATACAGTAGTAGTAAGGACCTCTAATAGGATATTACATTTTCTGCACAGGTTATCTAGTTATCCAAAGAATTTCCAACCTGATCGTCATGCTATGCGATTGCGAGAGGATGTAAACAGTGATTTAACAACCGTATTGAGGACGTTCGTGGCTTATGATGGTATTTCAATAATAAACTTTAATACTAATAAAAATAATTGTTAATAAACTAATGTTACAGTATTTAAATAACGAGTTGGCTGGTTTTTCCTGATAAAATGTTTGATTTTTAAAGAAAATATCATATCAAAAACAATACCGTACTAAGAGAAATATCAAATTTTTAGTATTCATTTTATTTTCTGTATTTGTTGGGATCGATAACAAAACGAAAATAAACACTGTCCGATAAAATAGTAAAATGGTACTAGGAATGCTAAAAACTAGAAAATAACCTATAAATACCATAATATTAATTGAAATTTAGTTTAGTAATAATAGTATTCATTTTATTTGCTTTTAAGTAGCCTATGTCATGAAAGACAACAAAACATAAATAAAAAAAGTATGATAAAGCGATTGACGAACTTACAATGATAATTAGGCCTAGTTATATTACATTTAGCGTTTTTGCAACTCCACTGGCGCTTCATATATTTGTTGAAAGCAAACCGCTACTGAAATGAAGCGCGACCAAAGTGATGCCTGAATACAGAAATGATCAGTATTCAGGCTAGGGCGGCCATTTGGCTATTGACCACCAACCGGCATTGCATGCCTTACGTAGATTTTGCCTAGCTAGGCCTACCCTAGGCCTAACTAATCG